TTGACTGCTAGACATTCTGGCCCAAAAGTGTTGTTTATGATAAACCGGAGCCTATTTTTCACGAATTTCATAGATATCATTTAGCCAATCATGCTTTTCCAATACATTTTTCTTAATAATTGAAACCCAATTCTCTTCAAAAGAGTTAGCATCGTCGGAGTCCCAAATATTTTCTTTGAAAGATTTCATAAATTCCGTTCTATAAGCCCATTGACCCAACTTCTTCGGAACTTTGTCCAAGATATGCCAAATGCAAAACATATGCCAGATTTTTGGAAAAACTGTTTCAATTGCCTTGCATATGCCAAGACATTGATCTGTAATCATGCCCGAAGGAGGATGACCCATTGCTTCAATCCATTTGTTAAACAACCATACAAAAGACTTCGCCTCTTCGTTTGGAATCAAGCCACATCCTAAAAAAAACACTTTGCCAATGTTGATTTATGCCTACAAACGGCAAAAATACCAAGCCATATTGATTTGTGTTATGTGTGGCATCGAAGGAGACAACATCGCCAAAGTGTTGATAATTCATTCGAGCAATGTCATCCACCCAAAAATAATGAGTTAAGCGCTTCTCTTCATCAACTTCATAAACATAATAAAATGAAGGATTCTTCTCTTGTTCCGACTTGAAATGATCCAACATCATTTGTGCATCATGACTGCGCCTCTCCTCTCTCAAATCTCTTTCATAATTTCTCACATCGGTCTCAATGCATCCAATTCTATGAAAACCTCCGCTAGAGTTTTCAAAGAAGGTCATTTGCTTGTTTGTTGGAATGTTCACCTCTCCAAACTGCTTAATTAATGTCTTCTTCGCACTTGTTACCTCACGGTTTCCCCTTAGAAAATGTGTTCTGCTTGGTGAAGTAATTGTATGATTATGTTCTTCCACGAACTTGTAGACACTCCATATGCTAATGTTTTTGTCTAATTTCAAGTGAATCAAGGCCTTATAATTAATTTGTTCTAATTGTACCACATATTTCCAACGATTTGCTCTTTAACACTCCTTCTTTTGAACAAACATAACTTTTGCAAATTAACTCTCTATCCTTCCCATAATTTGTTGTGCTATTACGGATATCAAAACCTCCGGCCTTTCCGTAATTTCTGTAGAATTTTTCAGCATCTTCTAAACTGTCGAAAGTCATTCCTATTTTTGGTTTTAAGTGCTCATCAACAATTGGCACAACTAAGTTATCTAATTGGGATATTTGTTCATCAACAACATGGGAGCAACCATCTTCAGTTCCTATTGGATCAGACATCAAGAACAATTTTTACCTACAAAAATTAACATCAACAACAAACATTAAGAACAAACCATCAAAGACTATGTGCACAAAAATAAACAAATATCTTTCATGTATAAGATATATCTTTCCTGTAAACAGTTATTATATGGGGTGTTTCCTGTAAACAATTATTATATGGTGAAGCATCTCATGCAACAGAAAAATGTTAGAGAGTAAAAGTTTGAAAGAATCTCAAAGTCTAAGCACTAGTTTAACGCCGCTAATTTAATTTATCTATCGCCGAATGAACGGTCATGGTAGGTGGAAAACCGCACATGTTTGCAGGTTGAGAATAGGTCTCTTCTGACTAAATTACCAACTTGGGGTAATTAGATAGGTCAATTTAGGACTGATATAGGCAACACTCAACCATGACTTGCATCATTCCAGATATTGTGGCTGTTATGTTTATTGATTAGCATAAAGGGTCGTAGTTTTTTAGGAGTTGTGTTGCAATGATCAACACAGGTCGCTATGGCTTAGGCTCTGTGTGGGGTTGTGCTTTGCAAGAATAATCATCAAAAAGCCAACAATAATCATCAAAAAGACCTAAATCAAGCAAGAAATTAAAAAGCCCTAAAATTTCATTATCCAGCAATCAATCTAAGTCCTAAAGTTTCCCCAAATCTACCCACTTTCACAAACAACAAACAAAATGGAGGAAAACCCACTTTCACAAACAACCCACATCACAAATGATGAAAAAAAATAACAAGAATAGAGAATAGTAGAGAAGAAAGAGAAGATATAAAAACCCGGAGTTGAATGACTGGGGGCTGGCGGTCATGGTCAGATTTCCGGGAGTCGAGTCGGCGCGGACGCTTAAATGGCGGGAAGGTCGGATCCGCACGAGTCCGTCGAGTCAAAGGCACGAGAGTGCTGAGTCACAAGAGTATTGGAGGGATCGGAAAGTCTGAGGGAGAGAGATGGAGGAGAGATCTGGGAGATTTAATTGAATGGAGAAGGAGGCTATGGTTTGAGGAAATGTGTAATTATGTAGTATACAGAGACACGAGAATGAGTCTAGGGAAGAGAGAGGAGGAGTAGCATGGGCAGCCGTTCCCTTCACATCCTGACAACGGTCATATAAACTTTTTTATCGCAACCTGTTTTAGCCTGGTGAGAAAAATATTTTCGCATCCCCGAAAGATATATTAATATATGATAATATATATATATATATATATATATATATAATAATATATATATATTATCAGATTAATGGGTATCCTTGTCATAGAGAGTAGATGTTCTCTCCTTGTCGTCTATGTTGACACAATCCCCACCATCCTCATACAGTAGAACAAATCTCCACAACTACACTCTTTTACTACTTTATGAGGATGGTTGGGGATTGTGCCACATTAGGGTCAAGGAGAAATCCCCTCTAATGACAAGATACCCATAGGGCTGATTGCGTTGTATGTTTTCCAGTAAAAGGATGTAAACGGGTAAAAAAGGGTCCCAGTGTCAGTTTCATCACTTTCAATTTTTGTTTGTGTTGTGAAAATAGTGTAAATGATTTCATATGCTGATGTGGTTGTAAAGTCGATTCATGAAAAAAGACATGATTTTTAGGAGAAAGTAACTTGAAGTTTAGGAAAAACATAATAAAATAATTCCAACCAATATGAATCATATTGAGTAGGCGACACTTTTTACAGCTTTCCAAACAACAATTAAAGTCATTTTTTGAAACCAAACAAGTGTTATGATGACCAATGGAATCATAAACAAACAAAGAAAAGTATAAAAGTAAAATGATGAGATGGACAACACTTTACCAATTGTGTCATTAAATACACAACTTTACCAACAACAACAAACATGCCTTATCTCTTCTCTCTCTCTCTCTCTCTCTCTCTCTCCTCTCTCTCTCTCTATATATATATATATATATATATATATATAATATATATATATATATATTATATATATATATATATTATATATTATATATAGAAGAGAGCAGAGCGAGAGGAGGAGAAGATAGAGAGAGAGAGAGCAAATTGTAGTCAACTTAAAGATGGATACAAAAGTTATCCACCAACTTTTTGGCACTCGTTTAACCTAAGAGATCCTGTGCATTGATATTGAAAAGGTTTTTATGATTAATTAAATAAGTAGCTAGGAAGTTTTTGTTGAACTAATCAACCTAAGTTGATAGGATTTTACTATATATATATATATATATATATATATATATATATATATATATATATATATATTCCTCTATAATATTGGGAGGAACTAAAAATCACTATTCATTCTACAGTAAATACTACAGTAATTTACTATAGTATTAGCACTGCATCATTTTCAAAGAAATATTACTGTAGAAGGGGAAATTGTAGCATTATTAAAAATTTTACTATAGCGTTCATAAATATATTACTAAAAATTTTACTATAGCGTTTAAAAATATATTACTATAGTCAGAGGTGAGATATTGTAGCATTTTTAAAAATTTTAATGTAGTTTTTTTAAAAAATACTGTAGCAATTAAAAAAATGGGATTACTGTAGCGATGAAAAAAGGGAAGTTCGTGCTTCGCACGGGGCCGCACACTAGTGTTGTGTGTTGTAGAGAGAGGAAAGTAGGGGGCCGACGCGCGCAATTGTTTTCTGTCACATTATGTGATCACCAAGAACTATTCTAATCATGTAATCCCCGATAGCTAAGATTAACATGCAAGACTCCCTTGCAGGAGACTTTATATTCGGTGTACCTATAACTATTCGCTTTCCTGACGGCGGGTCTTTTTGCCAAAATTCTTATGGTTTGGGAAGAGATAATTCTGCATTTCTAATGATGAAGAGATCACGTTCATAATTATTGTAGTCTCTTTTTTTAATGCTATAGAAGCTTTTGATCACAGAATCGTCCTCTATTATTAGCCTAGATTGTTAATCTTCCCGTCCTTAGCTCTTGAAAATCGGAGCGGCTTCGTCTCGGACAATATAGTGATCTAAAATCCCCCGGAATGTATTGATTGGGTCGGCGCCCATAGGTGGCGCGTTGAATACCACTATAGAGCTCTCTTTATCTTAGATCTGGTTGGTTGTTGCAACGTGATTCGTCAGAGCATCATCGTGAGTAGTATGTGAGTAATGCTTTTCTTAAGTTTATGTGTGTGAAAGTGCTTCTTTATAGAATTGCCAATATGTGATACGAGACGCTCTGAGTATCCCATTGGAAATATGTGGTCGGTGCAATGCAAGACTTGTACCACCTTTAATAAGTGGTTCCTATCCATCGTGGTGTTTAAATGTGAAATTGAGAGGAGGAGATCACATATAGTAACTATACTTTATTATCCACTCATCTTGTATTATAGTGATTTGTGTGCAATCATATAGCCATCCGGGATATACTTTAAACGAGTTCTGTCTTATATCTATCACGGATTTACCCTAAGTGTATTTTTCATTCACATGGTGTAGTATTCAAAAATTAGTGGATGAACTTATTCCTATCCATATTATTTGTTTGTCATATGAGTATCGTTATTATATATAACTAGTCAAATTATATTGAAAGTTAAAGAACATCGATCCATAATTTATAATTTTTCATTGATTTTTCCTCATTTTCAGGATCACGATTTTTCATTAGTATATATATATATATATATATATATATTATATACCTATAGTTCCAAATCAATTATCACATCTGTTATTATTCTCCTCCATTCTCACAAAAATTTCGCAACAACCCGAATTCTCCAAATCATTTCCTCTCCCCCCATCCTTTCTATAAATATCTCCTTCTCCACTCAGTTTTCTTCAGCCTCTCCCTATTCTTTGCCATGGACAAAACCTCAGTCATTTTCCTCTTCTCTCTCCTTCTACTGTCTTTCCTCGGAAGCTCCATTGCTTCTCCAGGGAGACTCCAAGAGAAGAAGACAGCAGAGGCTTATGAGATCAAGAAGGGGAAGTTCTCTGTCAAGGTCTCAAATTGGGGTGCTACCATCCTCTCTGTTGTCCTCCCTGACTCACACGGTGATATTTTGATTCATGGGTTGTGTTCAGAATTAAAAAATAAAAAAAGAAGCTGAAATATTTATTAGCTTTATTCGTAGAGTGATAGAGTTTGATCTTCTATGCAGGGAAGCTGAGTGATATTGTTCTTGGGTATGAAGGATTGGGCCCATATGTTGTAAGTTTAATCTGTCATCAGAACTCATCTCTTTGAGAAACTCAGATTGGTTCGGTCTCTGTGTTTGGTTGGATGACATATAGTTGAATTCTTTTGGGAATTTTCGTGATTGTAGTTTTACTGATTTTGATTACAATATGAGGCCGCAAGAGTTTGGTTCCTTCTAACAGGCTAGAATATTGACCTGCTGAGCTGTTGTCTTTTGTCTCAAATATAATGTATGCTAAGGAGACAAGTTTTTCATACTCAATTCATACAAGCAACCCTCTCTCTAGAAGCTGATCAAGATTAAACTATTGCATATGAGCGGTGATGACCTCTGATTCCTTTTTGGGAATCTTATCTAATTGGGAATGATAAACAATTATCCTCACATTTCAATATTATTTAATTGTTGGCTATAAGACAACTCTTAGTCTGCAGTCTAACTGGATTCTTCTGGCTTGAAAATACTAATTTTCAAGTCAAACTCACTTTTTTTTCTTCATCTCTGAAAGGGAATATTCTTTTAACAGCTGGGAAGTACACATTTATTTATTTGTCTTTCTTTTTTAATTTTTCTTAATTTGCACATTAGCCGCAAAATTCCATAATTTTCTTCTCAGAATGATACTACATACTTTGGAGCATTGGTTGGCCGAGTTGCTAATAGAATTGCAGGAGCACGCTTCATCCTAAATGGAACTTCATACAGATTATATGCCAATGATGGGAAGAATTGTCTTCATGGTATGGTTCTAAATTTGGGGGAAAAAATTGAAAATACAAGTGAAATGCGGTGTATTCTGTTAGTAATTACCTCTGTGTTTTTAATTTAGGTGGCCATAGAGGATTCAGTCATAACTTATGGACTGTAATTGAGCAAGCTGGTGGTGATTCTCCACACATCAAATTGCATTACCACAGCTTTGATGGGGAGCAAGGTACAACTCTATTTTCCTTCAGTGTTTAGATTGTCATCACCGGGATGCATGTTTACTGACATCTTGCATTGTGTAGTAGATGGTGAAATTCATCGTATAACTTGTATTTTCTTAACCATACCAGAGATTTTCCATAAAACTCTGTATCAGGGTTGTAAAAACTTGTATTCCTATGTAATTTTTCCTAGCGGATTTTTTAGGCACGCCCAAACATTTAAATGAATTTAATTGGCTCAAGTAAACAACTGGATTGATCTCGTTTGCGTATCAATAGGATCAGCTATAGATTGTTACTGTCTAATTCACAGTTTGTTTTCTATGTACTAGTAATAGTTGTGTTATTCAGGATTGTAAATTATGGTCTGAAGAACAAAGAAATCATGTAAAAACTACTAATTACTTGTATTTGTTCTCGTTCACTTTCTGAGGCTCATTCAAATAGTTCTATGAATTTAACTTGCACAGACTGTTGGATATCGATATCACTGGACAGGATTAAATCCTCAAATAAGCCAGTTTCTAATTTAAATATCGATTTCCACTTAATTTTGCTGTCTACATTTCTTCTCTTGGATCATGTATTAATAGAGTGTAAATTTGCAACAGATTTTATCTACTAACTGTTACCCTACATGCCAAAAAGCTGTATAGATTGATGCAGAGATTCCTAAAACTAAACCAACAACTTGGTCCCTTATAAATCAAAGCATGTCAACCAGCAAAATCTGACGAGTAGACCCCCTGTACTATAGCCCGGTCGTGGATGGACCTCCTGTAGTTCTATTGGTGCGGCCCTTGAAGCTAAGAGAGCATGGGGTCTGTCCGCAACAATAGAACTGCATGGGGTCTGTCCCCAATTGAGTGATAGTACAGGGGATCTATCCGCAATTAACTGATTTTGATTTGTACACACATCTTCCTTGATGACTCATTGGCCCCTGTGCAGGTTTCCCTGGTGCCCTCGATGTGTATGTAACCTACAAGATCACATCAGACTACGAGCTGAGCGTGTCCATGGAAGCGAAGCCCCTCAACAAAGCCACACCGGTTAACCTCGCTCAGCACAGCTACTGGAATCTTGGTGGCGACGGCAGCGGCACAATCCTGCGCCACACCGTCCAGATCTTCGCCTCCAAGATCACCCCAGTCAACGACGAGCTCATCCCAACGGGCGAGTTCACCTCGGTTACGGGAACTCCCTACGACTTCCTGGAGCCCAAGCAGGTGGGCGGTCGGATTAAGCAAGTGAGGGGGGGCTACGATATCAATTACGTGTTGGATTCTCCGGTTCAGATGGGACTGAGGGAAGTCGCGGTGGTCAGGTGTGAAGAGTCGGGGAGGACGATGCAGCTGTGGGCGGACAAGCCCGGGGTACAGTTTTATACTGGGAATTTCTTGAAGGGCGTTGAGGGGAAGAACGGGCATGTTTATCCCCAGCACGCAGGATTGTGTTTGGAGACTCAAGGGTTTCCTAATTCTGTCAACCAGCCTAATTTCCCTTCACAGATTGTTAAGCCTGGGGAGGTCTACAGCCATCAAATGCTTTATAAGTTCTCATTCTGATAAGAGGAGTTGAGCGGGAGGGGGCGGAGGATTTTGAACCGTGTGCTTTTCTATGGAAATTTGAACTGTCCGTATATTGGAGTGTTGTTGCTATGGCTGGCCTCTATAAAGGCGGTTCAGTTGACATAATCTCTAATTTGAATTTGTTAAATATGCAATGGGTGATAACATTAAAGGGTTTGTCGGTTCACTATTAAGGGAAGTAATTGTTTGTGAAGATTCACAATAACATAATGCTTAAATGGAGATCTCAGAACTAAGAGAGCAAGTGATTACTGCAAACCTTAAGATATTATGCCTATAAGCTAGAAAATAAAGCATAAAAGACAAATTAGTAGACAGCACCGCAAAGTTAACAGCGCTACATGTATATTTGACGATCGAATCCCCTAGCATAAATGCACACATCATGAGGAAACGTTTCTATTTTCGGTGAAACAAACAACCAAAAAAACTCTCTGTTTCCAAGATACAAATGCACTTCACCAATCAGACGCTCGAGTCAAAACGAAATTAAGATGCGCTCAAAGAAAATTTAGTGAGCGGATTGTGCAGCAGTCGACTTCTTGAAATCAATCTTGTCAACCTTAACTTCTCCGTCAATGAGCTCGTAGACATATACAACCACACGGAGACCGTCAATGTCCATGAGGACAAAGCTAGGATTCACATCGTAGGTGATGCTGCTGAAGGCACCGGTTGCTGAGCCAGGGTTGATGACGACGCCTCCCTCGTGCTTGTAGGCCTTGAACTGGTGTGTGTGCCCCGTCACAAGAATGTCGACGTCCAATTGCCTCTGGAGCATGGCTAACGAATCCAGGTCACCCCATGGAACAACCTATGTGAGTATACATATCATTGACGTGAGAAATACATCTAAACTAGTCTTTAAAACAATCAACTGCCATGGTCGAGATATATGCTATAAAGAGATTAGCATATGATTAGGTTGAAGAAATTTCACAAAAGCCACCTCAACTTCTGAGGATATTGCACAAAATACCCATCAACTCCATACATCATTGTGAACCCCCCTGCACTTCTCTCAGTTAAGTACAGCAAGTCTAAAACCATGACAGGTGTCAGTTGCTTCAAATCGTAACAAGCTCATATGTGATAATTTTTGGACAATTTTACCAATCATATGTGATAATTTTTGGACAATTTTACCAATCATATGTGATAATTTTTGGACAATTTTACCAATCCTTACTAACTATAACTTTTGTATTGCCATTTTCAGGAAAAGATAGTAAAAAATAAAAAGGATCCTTCAGACTTCTTCCTCTATGCATTAACACGGGTTATGAGAATTTACAGTTTTTAAGTTTAAGGCCCTTATTTATTTGTAGTAAACTTGCTAGGAGGATTTATTTGGATAAAAGAGAATGACATTGGAAATGACGACCATATAGGATAATAAAGAGATTGAAATTCCACTGTAACTACTATGGACAATACGACAAGTGTTGTAGCATGAAGTCCATATAAGGATAGTTACAGATTGTGGAGAACAAACCTGGTGACCATGGCATAGTCCAAGCTTGAATTGACCAATTGTAAGAGTCTTGGTCTCCGGATAACGAGCATCCTCATCATATTCACCACGAGTAATGTGCAAGTCGGGACAAAGGCTCTTCAAGTAATCATGGATCTCCTGCATACAGGAATTAGCTTTGCATAAATTGAAACTAACAAATACTTTGGACAGAAACAACACTACTTACAGCGACAGAAAGTCCTACTTTTACAATGTTAAAAACAATTAGGCCATCATATTAACTCTCCAAGGAAATAATTAGAGTAGATGTCCAAGTATTACCTAACACATTTGGAAAAAGAAAAGGCACCTGTATAGACTATAACGAATAATAAAGTGATGACCATCAAAAGTTTGTGATGGGAATAGTAACAAAGCTCAGAGAACTTAAACCTTTGCCTCGGTTCACCAACAATTAGAAATTTAAGTACAAGACATATAAACTAGTGAAGAATTTCGTAGCAAATATTCCAGTTCAGTTTAAGAAAACTGTAGTAAATAACACAATTCTCGTACTTAAATATGGTTGGATAGCTAGGTATCGATATCAGTTTCTCCTTTTATTAGGATCGGACATGTCACAAGTATTAGGAATACCGGGTAGTCAACATGTCCTATTTCTCATTTTTAATAATAAATTAAAACAATCAGAAAAAAAGTAAATAGTAGTACAAAATATTAGGATAGTAAAGTAGCCTATTCAGTCTCATATTGAAAGTTCATGTAAACTCTATTCTATATGAATTTCGACTGTCTACAGGATCAATTCACTTTTCCAACATAACATGGTAATAGAGCACACTATTTTTTCACAATCAAAACCATATACCCTGACTCACTGTTTCGCTGTTTTCTCTCTACTCTTTCCTTCTCAATTAAAGACTTTTTACATCCTTATCATCTAACCCGCACAAATCCGTGAATTATTCATGAAGGGAATAATAATAAAGCAAAAATATGCTGGGAATATATACAAAAGTATGATAACAGCTAACAACTATGGCAGTCTGTAGTGAGGTGGCTAAATGGAAAAATCAAAGCCCAGAGAAGTTCAACCTTTGCCTCAGTTCATTAACAATAAGAAAATTTGAGTAAAATACAACATGTAAACTAGTGAAGAATTTTGTAGCAAACTTCAGTTCAATCCAAGAAGGCAATAGGAAATAGCACAATTGTCATACTCAAATCTAGTTGCGTAGCCAGGTATAGATATCCGATTCGCCTTTATATTTTATTAGGATCGGACAGGTTGTATAGCATTAGGAATACTGGACTATGATTATTGGACAGTCAACAGGAGCTACTTCAAATTTTTAAAAATAAACTGTAACTGTCAGAAAAATTGTAAATAGTGGTACAGAATATTAGAATAGTAAATTAAAGTAGTTTTTGCTACTTGATCTACAAATTTGATCAGGTAGACCAAAGAATTAATAATAATTGATGTGACCAAGATCCTAATGTGATCAGACCAGCTCCCTATACCTACTACTCTATTACCAATCTATTTCTGATCTCATTCCTTCATGAATCCTCCTTCAGCAATTCCTGTGATCTGTCTGGCTGAGGCCAAATATAATTATGATCCTACATGACTAAAATAACTGTGGTGAAGCTAAATGGAAGGACTTTTTGTTGCTGAGCCAAATATGATTATGATCCTACAAGACTTAAAATAGCTATGGTAAAGCTAAATGGAAGGACTTTTGATGATAAAGCTTCAATGTATTGGGAATGACATAACTAACTGGTGACTACCTGGTCGTGGAATAGAATGGAACCTTCCCTTTCCCTTCATGTTTCATGACATGGCAAAGGAGGTCTAAGAAAAGGTTCACGATACTTATGCAACTTGAGTATAAAACTTGGATCTTCAATGTTTATGAGGATATTTCAGTATCAAACAAGAAGATAACCGCTGGAGGATGAGTACTATAGTCACTTTAAAATTATGATTGATGAACTTAATAGTATTATCCTCTTAAAAACAATACTGAAACTTCGGAGAAACAGCAAGAGAACTTGTATGATTGCAGATTCTTGTGCACATAGCGCTTTTCTTTGAAGACAATGTAATATCAGCCAATTACTTTTGATCAACGCTCTAAAATATCAATTACTGGGGAAATATTGTATGGCCAAAATTCATATCAGATTACGGATATCGGGAAAATATCAGAGTGCCATATCAAATTGTGTGCATATATAATATAATTCCTAAAATGTGATCTAACCATAATAAAATCTAAGCATATAAAAATGTAAATAATATATGTTTAGGATCACCAACCAATTGTATAAACACACTTAAGGAAAAGAGCCTACTAGAATTTTTCTAAAAAACTTCATGGGGTTAGAATTTTTGGTCAAACAATCAAAATAATTTTGCAGAACTATACTGTTTTGTGACAAGCTATATAAAAGGACATATCAGCGGATCTACTATCCATGTTGGGACATATCACCCAAAAATTACCAAAAAGCGATATATTGAAACCATATTGCTCTGCAGCGAGCCATATAAACGAATATACCGGCGATATATCACCTACATCGAGGATATTTAAAACAACGCTTTTGATAAGTCCCTAGTCTATACAAAATGCTTTTAGTCTTTGTTAATTATCATTGCAGAATATCTTCCAAATGAAGGAAGTTCAAGAAGTGTTATGTTTGAGAAATTATTAAGTGTCTTGCCTCGTCAGTGTAGTACTATAGATTCAATGAGGTAGAAAGAGGGAGAAGGCAACTAGATTGAACCCTGTCAGGGGGTTAAAATATTGCATGATTATCAGTGTATATCTGCTTGTAATCATCGGCTTCAAAGGAGCGACGTGCTACATCAGTGAAGAAAGGTTTTCATTTTGAGATCTTGCTTCAAAATTCATGGCCATGACCAAGGGGTTGAAGATGATATTTCTAAACCAGGCCAAATTTTCTTTCCAAGTTCCCTTGCCCATATCTCCAGGAGGTCGTCAAGCTACTACAAGTAATCTAGGAATATTACTAGTTTGACTTGATCTCTTACTCTGGTTTCCCCTAACAATGTTGATGAGGAGGAACAAGGGATGAGGTTTCTTGGTTGCCCCTGCCTTTCTCCTGATAGGGTCTGCAGCTAAAAATTATTGGTATGACAGGTGTATATTTGAAACAAAGAGGAAGACCAGATGGCGTCTTCTTGTGGCAGACAGAAGGATTCTTTTTGGCCATTACAACCACATAGGAAGATCATTTCTTTAGGCTTCATTTAGTAATGTTTATTCATGAACCGTTGACAAATTTATCTAGGACAAGGTGGAAAATTTTGAGCTAACATGATCATCTCAATTCAGCCTATATTGTTTAGAGAAGTTGACATGGTTGAAATTCATGAATATTTCCATATTTTTTGGGAGTCACCTTATGCTCAAACATAATATGCTTATTTCAATTTCTGTTCTAATCTTCGGAATTACTTGAAGATGTTGATGAACATCGGTGACTTGATAAGCGTAGAGTGATCCACTTTTTCTTTTGGTTGTTGTTATAGTTGTTATTCATTATTGTGTGTACAGAGAACTTCTAAACCAAACTACACCACTTCATCACTGAGGTAGGTCTCATGTGGTAAATGCTTATATAAAAGATATGTTAAGAAATGAGTTAGGGTCTCAGAAGGATTGTGTTTAAATAAAGTCCCCGTGGCATGGTGTAACTAGGAGATGCAAAAGTTCCAACTGAAGAATGTAGCTTTTGGGGATGAGGTTGAGTAATTTGAGCCTTTAATTGGAATCATCTATCTAGAAATTCAAGCTTAAGTGTATAAAAAGAAATGATTGTGCCAATCTCCACCAGCCTAACACTTCTATTTGTTTACGAAAATGACAGATGGAGAGAGCATCGTGGAGATGCAAAAAAGCCTGACTATGTTACAGTGCTAATAAAACCTCCAAATCCTTAAAACAAAGCCAAGATTCACTAAACAAGTCCATATTTTGTTCTAAGATAAACTGTAATTTCTGATTATTCGATTCTCACAAGTTTCATATGAAATAACCCTAAAAAGAAAAGGCTCAAGCTAATGTATATTCATGGCCATCATATTTATCCTCTTTGAAATGATCAACAATAAGACATGAAAAGTCACTTGATGCAACATTTTTGGTAAATACAAAAGGGGAAAAAACATAAGTATATCCTCTCCTAACATTTCTGACAATCTAATAAAGTGGTTGGAAAGACGTAGGTGCAAAGCATGTAGAATGGATTGTTTGTATTACAATCCCCTATAATTAAATTCTAGACTAATGCTTTGGGATGTCAGAAAAGAACGTTGGACATACTAAACATACCAAGGAGTTAGGTCTATTGANCAGGAATCACAATTACATAGTCGGCTGAAGGATATAAGAATAAATCTCCAACCAAGTTGGATAGTTTAAAAGTCAAATAGCTAAACCCAATAGGCTGGCTAGATATAAATCTAGGTGACCAATGTAGCATTGCCCAAGACAGTTGGCAGAGATAGATCACAGTTACTTATAAAATGCAGAAAGGATACAGATCACAGTGGCACACAAGGTTGCAGTTACATAGTGCTAGTGGAGCTTACAGACATTTATTCATATACCTTACATGCATTTTCTTTTTTCTTTGGGGGTCAACAGGGGAGTCCCGCAGTCAATACAATTAACTAAGTGACCAGTCCTAAAAAAAGTATGATAAATTCTATTCTTTTTAAAAGAACTATGAATAAGCCAATTTTTTATGTCTTGTATGTTGATAAATTCTATGAAAATAAGCCAATTTCTTACGATAAATTCTATTCCTTTTAAAAGAACTATGAAAATAAATCGATTGAATTGATAAGTTACAAGTCATTTTCTGTTGTGGAAGATAATTTAAACTATAATATAAATAAAAATAGATAAGCACATAGTACAAAAGAATGGACAACATTGAATGTAGTAAACACTTACACAATCTAAGAGACATTGAAAAATGATTTTTTTTAATGAGTGAGATAGTAGTTGCATTCTATTTAGAAGAGGAGAAAGTAGATTATTGCAAATTAAAAAATCACCAAATTAAGGTTAGGCACACAATTTTGCACAGAGAATAATTGATAGGAGTTAAGAACTACAATGGGGTCTCATAAGCTGAGGTTGGGCCTGTATCCTGCCCCAAGTGTATATGGATCCAACCTTTAGAACTACTACATTCATGGATTAACTAAGGAGTACAGAATGTAGCATTAGTATGTACATCCTATATCACATCTAAATTAAAAATTAAATTTCTCCAAAACGAGAAAAATAAAATGAACTAAGCAACAAAGCATACTGCATAGCTTCTGGGGAACAAACAACAATGAAATTTTCAAGATAAGTAAAGCAAAACTTCAAATTTAGCTGAATACCTTAATGCATAAATTTCCAGTACATATTATCTGTTGAATCTTGCCAGGAACGAGCATCGACTTAAACTTTGCAGGGAGATCAGCTGCCCTGTGAGGGATGTGAAGATCACCTAATGCTAGAACTAACACCATCTTCACAAATCAATTATATAAAAATTAAGCTTCAATAATCATCATCAACACCAGCAAATTAATGAAAATACAACCAACTATTAATTCAATAACATTAGATACTAAAACCCAACAGAAAATAAAGCAAACCCCTTTATGCAGGCATCAATTGAAATTGAAAAAGTTAATTGAAGAGGCACATTAACGAAAACCCATTTCGAGATTAGTCTCAGATAACTAGATTGTAAAAAAACTCGCCAATTTTAGAAATTTGGGTGTAAATTTTTACCTGAACAAAAGAAAGCCCAAACTTCTGAAAAAGCAAAGATTGACAAAAAAATTTATGGCGATTTGACGATGAGGATCAAACTTCGAAGAAACTTTTCCTTTCCGATCCCCGAAATGAGATCAACAACAATACTAATTTTGTTTGCGTAACTTTCTGCATAAAACTCCTTATAAAGCTTAATATTGCAGATTATGCTGTTTCCTTTCGGGATTTTTGTAAATATATTCTTCAAATCTTTTATATTCCGGTATTCGCTGCTGCTTTTCTGTTTACTTAACTTTTTTTTTTAATGACAAGGGAAACTTGGTCACCCCAGCTCAGTTTAACTCCTTCGGAGCCCCGCCAGCGGCCCTGGTTCGATTCTCCTTGTTCCCTTCACATCTACAAGGAGCTACCCTTAATACCAGGGGCTCATCCTCACGGGCAGAGCGCGGGCGAGCAGCGTGGGGACCACTGGGACGCGAACTGGTGAGCATACAACGGGCTGAGCTAGATTTGGTGATCAATAAACCCCCGGGTTTTCGTCCCCACCCTTAAACCAAGGGAAACCAGGTGAATGTGGTTACGAGGATTCGAACTCCTGACCAACAACGGGCAATAGCCTGGAGAGATACACTCGCCCATGGAGAGCTGCTGACCATGAGTCCCACTCGTGGGTGGTTGTTTACTTAACTTTTAGTATTATCATTTCTACTTTATTTTCACTCTTCTATGTTTGAAATGAGATGAGAGGTTTTATTTTATAATTAGATTATTTGCACTTAAATACGTTAAAGTTTACTCTACTTTTAACTTTGATACCCTTTTTGTTTTTATCCAAAAAATACCCCAAAACTTACCAAATTCTTAACTTTGATACACCAAAGTTTTCTTTTACCCAAAAGGCACATCAAAGTTCCACAAAATTTATCTTTGATATCCCAAATTTTAACAAAAGTTTTAACTTAATTTTTCCCAGCTTTGTCAAATTTAACGAAAATTTTAAGTTTAAGTATCAAAGTTTAATTTTAATAATCTTTCGAAGTATTTTTTATTTTTATTTTTTGCAAAAAAAGAACTTTGTGGTATCAAAACTAAAACTATGGTAGGCTTTAGGATTTTTAAGTGCAAATAACCAAAAACAATTAAACATATCAGGAGATTTATATAAAAAGTGTTTCTGCTTATAAAAGGAAATTGTTATGTAATAGCATTTGATTGTCTTTATACAATCTCAATTTTGATAATTCCCAACTATGCTCATTATCTATAATTAATTTTCAATTAATTATCCATAACCTCTTAATAACTATGTTCTGTCAATTCATCATTCAACAACTGATGGTTTCATTATTATTAAACTATAATTACATAAGATATTTTATTAATTTACTATTTATACAATTTTATTAAAAATGATAATTGTTTATAGCAAATTGCAACCTATTTCATAGTTTTTTAGAATTATAAGTAGTTATTTATTATTACAAAATAAGAATTAAACTGTAATTTAATGATTATACTAGTAAATAAATTATTTTATGATAGTAAAATAAAATAATTTAAATTATTAAATAAATTATCTAATAATAGTATAAATGTCATTTGTCAATAGTATAACTATTAATTGTCTAAAATACTATGATAAAATAATTTATAAGATGCTTTATAAAATATTTTATAAGATAACTTTAGATAAATAATTTATTAGGTTATTTAATAATTATGTATAATATAATTAAATAGTTAAAATAATATTATAATAAAATAATATACTATTATATTGTATATTTTATCTATACTATTACTTACTAAATATTATAATAAAATATTATAAATTAAATAGTATGAATAGTATAATTATTTTAAGAGTATTACTTAAATTATGAGATAAACTATTATTGAATAATAGTAAGATAAAAAATTTAAATAACTTTCAAATAAATTATTTAATGGTACTATAATTATCAATAGTTGGATAAGTAATAGTTTTTAAATACAATATAACCAAAAATTTATGAATGATAATTTATTAAATAATTTTACTATTATATTATTTTTCAATTATTTTTGTTATAGTAAATAATAGAATATTAACATTAATAAAATAACATACTACTAACTACTATTTAATATCATTTAATAAATAATATGATAAAATAGTATAAATTTTTGATAGTATAAAGGGGAAAATGTGTCAATGCCCCAAAATAAATAATCTGAGGTGCCCCAGCCCCACCAATTATTTCCGTTACTTTTTAGCCCCAACCGAGTGTAAAAAATGTGACTCGGCCCCAAAAGCCCACATTTATACATATATTGTGTGTATTTTGACAAACCTACCGAAAAATGCCTTCTTCTCTCTCCCAGGAAACCGGCTCATTGACTCCTCAATCCGGTGATCTCTCCCATCACAGTTAAGACGGAATGGCGGCGAAAAACGGGGGAAAAAGCGCGGGTTCCCTCCATTATAGGTCCACTTCATCATCATGGGTTATATATTGTCTAGTTTTATCTCTCACTCTCTCATTTATGAAATTAGGGTTTTTTATCTTTAACTTTCAACAATCCTTTATTCGTTTTAAATCTCCTCAATTACTCCTCATAACTGTCATCATAACTTTATTTTATAATCAGAATTTTTACCTGAACAAAAGAAAGCCCAAGCTTCTGAAAAGGTAAAGATTGATAAAAAAATTATGGCGATTTGACGATGAGGATCAAACTTTAAAGAAACTTTTCCTTTCTGATCCCCGAAGTGAGATCAATAACAATGCTGATTTTGTTTGCGTAACTTTCTGCATAAAACTCCTTATAAAGCTTAATATTGCAGATTAAGTTGTTTCCTTTCGGGATTTTTGTAAATATATTCTTCAAATCTTTTGTATTCCGGTATTCGCTACTGCTTTTCTGTTTTCCTAACTTTTGGTATTATCATTTCTACTTTTTTTTCACTCTTCTATGTTTGAAATGAGATGAGAGTTTTATTTTACAATTTTAGATTATTTGCACTTAAATACACTAAAGTTTACTCTACTTTTAACTTTGATACCCTTTTTATTTTTATCCAAATAAATACCCCAAAATTTATCAAATTCTTAACTTTGATACACCAAAGTTTTCTTTTACCCAAAAAGCACATCAAAGTTCCACAAAATTTATCTTTGATACCCCAAATTTTAACAAAAGTTTTAACTTCGATTTTCCCCAGCTTTGTCAAGTTTAACAAAAAATTTTAAGTTTAAGTATCAAAGTTGAATTTTAATAATCTTTCGGAGTATTTTTTTTTTTTGCAAAAAAGAACTTTGTGGTATCAAAACTAAAACTATGGTAGGCTTTGGGATTTTTAAGTGCAAATAACCAGGCTTTGGGATTTTTAAGTGCAAATAACCAAAAAAAAATTAAAGATATCAGGAGATTGTATATAAAAAGTGTTTCCGTTTATAAAAGGAATTTGTTATGTAATAACATTTGATTGTCTTTTATACACTCTCATTTTTTATAATTCCCAACTATGCTCATTATCTATAATTAATTATCCATAACCCCTTAATAACTATGTTCTGTCAATTCATCATTCAACAACTAATAGTTTTATTATTATAAAACTATAATTACAAAAGATATTTTATTAATTTATTATTTATACAATTTTATTAAAAATAATAATTGTTTATAGCAAACTGCAACCTATTGCATAGTTTTTTTAGTATTATAAATTGTTATTTCTTATTACAAAATAAGAACTAAACTGTAATTTAATGATTATACTAGTAAAGAAATTATTTGATGATAGTAAAATAAAATAATTTAAATTATTAAATAAATTATCTAAATTTCATTTATCAATAATAGTATAACTATTAATTGTCTAAAATAATATGATAAAATCATTTATAAGATGCTTTATTTTATAAGATAACTTTAGATAAATAATTTATTAGGTTATTTAAAAATTATGTATAATATAATTAATAAGTTAAAATAGTATCATAATAAAATAATATACTATTATATTGTATATTTTATTAAATATTATAATAAAATATTATAAAATTATAAATTAAATAATATAAATAGTATAATTATTTTAATATTATTACTTAAATTATGAGATAAACTATTATTGAATAATAGTAAGATAAAAAATTTAAATAACTTTCAAATAAATTAGTTAATGGTACTATAATTATCAATAGTTGGATAAGTAATAGTTTTTAAATAAGAATATAACCAAAAAATTATGACTAATAATTTATTTAATAATTTTACTATTATATTATTTTTCAATTATGTTTGTTGTAGTAAATAATAGAATATTAACATTAATAAAATAATATACTACTAACTGCTATTTAATATCATTTAATAAATAGTATGAAAAAATAGTATAAATATTTGATAGTATAAATAGTATAAATATTTTAATAATATTATTTATATGAAAAATACACTACTATAATTTAGCAATTATGTTATTAAATTGTCTATAAATTATTATATTACTTTATGTTTAGTAATCATATTAAATATACTATGTAATATTATTACAAATAAGAATATATTGTCATAAAGTAGGATAATAATATATTATAGTTATTCTATACTCTATTATACTATTATAACAATGCTACTATATCTCTCAAAATATATTATAACTTATTAATTCCTTTATTTTTCTATCAATAAAAATATTTAAAATATAAAACATGTACGTTCACATACAAAGTAAGAGCACTATACTAGTTTATATAAATGAGCCAGATTCACTAATCCTAAAATGGCTTTATTCATCATAAGCTCCTTACAACTCATAAATTTATAGCCCTAACATAGTCATTGCAAGCCTACAACTTAAATAACTTTATTTCATGGTAATATTATTGTAGCTTAAACCGAAGATTAATGCAAGTTATACTGTAAAAGAATTCGTACAATTTGCTACATAATTGTAAAGTGTTATTATTCCCTATTTGAAGAAATAAAATCAATATTCTTTTCCTTATCCTAATAGAAAATTACAAATTTGTATGCTAAGTCGAGCACTTTGTCTTCCCAGTTACCATTTTGACAGAAGTCGGCGCATGTTTTCACAATATAAACTTATAAAAACACGTCTCTTATCATATCCATTATTCTTATAGACACTTTTCTCAA